TTGATTGTCAGCAAGCAAGTAGGAACACCACCACCTGCAAGTTCCTCTGCAAGTCACACAACCGATTTGGATAAATATTGCTGATCCTTCATCACCGCTGAGTCAGAAATCTTGGAGCTCCTTCTTAACTTAAGAGTGTTATGGGATTACCTTCACCACATGGACTCCAGCAGTTCAACAGCAAATTGGGAGAGGCAAAGTTGACTGCAAGGTTTTTAGTGCTGCTTTGCGAGAGGTTATGCTTTAGGCTATCTGGGAAAGAAGGGAGATGCTCTTCTCTTTGGATAGCATTGGCAAGGTTTCCCATTAGATCCAGACAGCATGGGTTGAGGTCAGACCAAAGGGTTTGGACCCAGTACAGGAGGAGGATGAATGAGCTTTTGTTGTCTGCAAGAGTAAATGACATCATTTCTCATTGTAGGTATGCTAATCAAACTGCTCGGGTGTGTTATGACACACTTCTGGGACAGGCGGGAGCTCAAGTACCATGCACCCCCATTTCTCATTGTAAGATCACACTCATAGGGACATCACTCAGTCGTAGCCCTAAACCATAACCCTGACTTCTTCTTGTCTGTGAGTGACCTTCTGGTCCATCTCAGGATTGTCACCCTCACCATCTTCATCAGAGATTTTGTCTCATTCCTGCATCTCTTCTTTGCCCAACACATCCTCCCTTTGATGACAGAGAATGTGCAGATGCAGCCAACAACTAAAATGCAGGACATACTGTACTGCATTACATCACATGACCGGTCCAGATTTCTGAATCCCATTTACAGATGGCCTATGGTCTGTTAAGTAGTGACCCTTCTGGAAGTATGCACAGCATTGTACCTCTCCTGGATATTGGTCTGAGGTTTCCTCGCTACTGATGTCCAAGCTCACCCCAGAACCCATTACCAGCCAAGTCCCAAAGTCCTATTGAATCTCACCTGTTCCTGTGACCAAGATCTCCCCTGACATTCCGTAACAGCCCTGTCAGATCTTGATGCTTGCTTTCCAAGTCCCACCTTACCACATCCAACTTCAGCCTACAACTATGTCTATTCCCTCCACTGCTAAATACCAATAGACAAAATTTCCAGACATGAGGTACCCTTGGCAGGGACAGCAGCATAGATAAAGAGCATGCCACCCCTGTACATGGTGGAGGGGCCAAGACCCCTAGACTAACTGTAGCCCAATCCAACTGGAATAACGACAGCACACCCTTGCCCCACTAACCCTTCCTCCTCTGACTGCTCTTGTAGTTCTATGTCATTCAGTCACATGTACCCTCTGATGGCCATTTGGATCTTGCCCCTCACCCAGAAGCTGCCTTCTGTATGTTTTCATCCTGTGGGCTTTAAGATGGCCCAGGGATATGGCCTGTCTTCATCTATGTGGACCTGTTGACTCTAATTGAAGAACTTAGAGAGCAACTGAGTGGAAGCATCATTTAAAGCCATATTGCTATAAGGAGAAGGCAGGAAATCCCTACCCAAACACCAGGATAAAGTGCAAGTCACCAGTTACAAGCCTGCAGTGTGCAGTTCAGTTTCTGAAGTGTTGAGTTTCTTTACGGGGGTAGAAGTTAACTGAGAATGTAAATTTAATTCCCAGGAATTATGCTATTAATGAGATATTAATACATGTAGATAACCTTTTTGGAGACCATCTGATGAGAAGGTTGATTTTGTTTCAGAGATAGTAGGAACTGCAGATGCTGGTGAATCTGAGATAACAAGGTGTAGAGCTGGATGAGCACAGCAGGCCAAGCAGCATCAGAGGAGCAGGAA